TATATATATTATCTAACCACGAGATTAGGCTGGCAAGCATAGAGTTGTGTTGCAAGTAGTCAGTGGTTTCGGTGGTAAACGTTCAGAATATTTTGTCGTTTATAATCATTAAAAACCTACATGGATACACATCTTCTTCTCAGACGCTCCCATCATATAATAGCCTACTGGTTAGAGTGTAAGGGGGATCCGGGGGCCAGCCCCTACTAAGCATACTGCCAGCATGTCCCTGCACCCTCTAATATGAGCGAGTAATTGTATAGTTCTATTTCACATGCTCCGACAGAATGCATGAGAGATTGGCATTTTAGTGCCAACTTGAATTTCTCACCGACTATGCAAATTAATACCCAACGACTTTCTCACTGACTACGATTAATTGATATTTTAAGTTTTTCAACCGCTTCTGTCACAGGGTAGGTTTGTTAAGTTTCTCCATCGATCGCTACTTTAACCACTGAATAAAACTTGCAAACTCCTTTTAAGGTAAATAATGTCGAGTATAAGCTAAAATTACGTAAAAAAAACAATGAAACAGCAGATTGTCCGCCATTTTGTTTTAATAAGCGTAATCGAGTCCCGCGTGTATGCCAATGATAGCCTTGAAATTCTTACACTAACCGATGAATTTAGTGTTAGAAATCGTATAGAATATCACGCAGAATAGGATAATAATTCGGAATAGAATTCGGTCACGAGCCTCTAGCGTAGTATATTATCTACCGTGAGCAGAATAGAACACGTTGCTCTTTTCTAAGCAAAGACGCCGCCATGACGACGTCACTGGCTCGATGTCGCAGCTTTAGCATTGAAGATTTCGAGATTTCGAGTTTTTAAGTTAGCGAGAAAAATGGGATATGTTTCTGAGAGTGCTGGTAGAGCGCGGATAACGGACTGACGGGATTCTGAAACTCGTCGAAGCGAGAAACGCTGTGAGGCGCGGGGGAGAGGGGGAGAGGGACAGAGGGTGAGAGAGGGAGAAAGGAGGAGCGAGATATGGGGAGATAGAGAGAGGGAGATAGAGAGAGGAAGAGAGAGAGAGGGAGAGAGATAGAGAGAGAGAGGGGGGGGAGAGGTAGGGAGAAGGAGAGAGGGAGAGAGGAGGAGAGAGATATGGGGAGATAGAGAGAGGGAGATAGAGAGAGGAAGATAGAGAGAGGGAGACAGATAGAGAAATGGAGAGAGATAGAGAGATGGAGAGAGAGATAGAGAGATGGAGAGAGAGGGGGGAGAGACAGAGGAAGGGAGAGAGGGAGCAAGAGAGGGATAAAGAGAAAGAGAGAGAGAGAGAGAGAGAGAGAGAGAGAGAGAGAGAGAGCGAAAGAGAGAGAGGGGGGGATAGAGAAAGAGTGAGAGAGAGAGGGAGAGAGAGAGAGAGACAGAG